CTGCTTCATTCAGTGTTTCCTCTATCTTTTGTGTGCACATGAGCACATATGATCTTTAGCTTGAATATATCCTAGAATGGTCACATCACTTATTTAACCTGTGCTTTTGGTCCTCAGAACACACCTGTAAGTTCCAGTCATATTTCTACCTGTTGGTAGACACAGCTCCTCCTAGTGGAGTCAAATTAGAAACAATTCTCCATTTATGACAGTTTTTCCAATGTGAGATTCAAATAGGCTGACCCAAGAGTGTGAAATTTTCCATATTTAGAGACCTAATATCATCAAATTTCTTCCTGTAGAAGTAGCAGCAATTTATTATCAGAGAAGAAATGCTGATAAGTGAGGTGTTAGAGAAACTGGCAAAGCCAGCACCCCAGTAAAGTTATCAGGGATCACAGGTCTGTATTGACTAAGAAGTATTCTAAAAGAAAATTCTTTTTAGAAATTATGTGGTTCAGGTTTTGATCCTGTAAATTCTTTCAAAAGGGGTTAGTGTTTTAAAACCTTGTTTTAATCTCACAGTCTCTAAAACAATTGTTGGCATAATTGGAAAGCATCCTCAAATTCAAATGGACACAAACTACAAGAGTCCCCCTAACACCCACTCCTTAAATTCCATTTCCACAACCCAGATATCTGCCTCAGTCCTCTGGGTGTCAGCCATGCACCTGCCCAGACAGTTCCAGAGTCTCAGACTTTGAAGAGGAATAGTGAATGGAAGCTGAATACCTCCATATCTCATAACACACAAATGGTTTAATTCCTGTAAAGAATGGATCAGGTCGGGTGTGGTGGCTCACACCTGTGATCCCAGCACTTTGGGAGGCCGAGGCGGGTGGATCACTTGAGCTCAGGGGTTCCAGACCCCCTGGGCAACCTGGCGAAACCTTGTCTCTACCAAAAATTTCAAAACTTAGCCAGGCATAGTGGCATGTGCCTGTTGTCCCCGCTACTTGGGAGGCTGAGGTGGGAAGATCGCTTGAACCCGGGAGGCGGAGGTTGCAGTGAGCCAAGATTGTGCCACTGCACTTTAGCCAAGGTGACAGAGTGAGACCCCCATCTCAAAAGCAAAAAAAAAAAAATTTAAAAGAAGAATAGGCCAGGAGCGGTGGCTCATGCCTGTAATCCCAGGACTTTGGGAGGCTGAGGCAGGCAGATCATGAGGTCAGGAGTTCAAAACCAGCCTGGCCAAATTAGTGAAACCCCGTCTCTACTAAAAATACAAAAATTAGCCAGGCATGGTGGCACATGCCTGTAGTCCCAGCTACTTGGGAGGCTGAGGCAGGAGAATCACTTGAACCTGGGAGGCGGAGGTTGCCCAGGCTGGAGTGCAATGGCAGGACCCAAATTCTGCAAGCCTGACCCCACTGGCTGTCTGCACCTGCCTGTGTGCTCTAGCTCCCCCTCACTGCCAACTCATGAAACACAGGCTGCTCCCAGGATACCTGGCAAGAAGAGCACCATGCTGTTCAGAGGTGCTGGGGTAGGGGTTTTCTCTTCCCAACTAAAGTACATGTCCACCAGTCACGGGGCAGGTAAATTAATCACTGTTGCAGAGTTGGTTTTAAAGGCAACTGAGGTGAAGGTGTACAGCCCGTTGTCACAAAAGTTAGGCAGTAGGTTTTCCATTGAAAACTTTCTTATTAGAAATTCTCCCCAATCTCCATCCCAAATCACAGAATTTCTCTTATTCAATTAAGTTTTTGGACCTGGTCCCATGACAAATTAGTTATACATAGAAGATATCCAATACTGTGGTCCACTCTTTCCATTTAACATTATTTCATACGTCTTCCCCTTAAATTCCAAAAAAAGGAGATTTCTGATCATCAATTTGCATTAATTTTCATGATCTGATAAATTACTACTTAGGAAAATTCCAGAGGCCATCATGCTACTGGCAGAGTAGACTTGGAATTTCTTCAGCAAACTTATGTACCTTCAAAAATCCAAATTGAGGGCTGTGCATGGAGGCTCATGCCTGTGATCCCAGCACTTTAGGAGGCAGAGGTTGGCAGATCACTTGAGGTCAGGAGTTTGAGACCAGCCTGGCTTACAGGATGAAACCCGGACTCTACCAAAAATACAAAAATTACCTGGGCATGGTGGTGGGCACCTGTAATCCCAGCTACGTGGAAGACTGAGGCACCAGGATTGCTTGAACCCAGGAGGCAGAGGTTGCAGTGAGCCAAGATCCTGCCACTGCACTCCAGCCTGGGCAATAGAGCAAGACTCCGTCTCAAAAAAAAAAAAACACCCAAATCAGTAGAATTAATGTTGGAATGCCCTTTGATTTAAAAACAGTAGAGGCCTAGGTGCAGTGGCTCAAGCCTGTAATGACAGCACATTGAGATGCCAAGGTGGAAGGATCACTTGAGTCCATGAGTTCAAGACCAGCTTGGGCAACATGGCGAAACCCCATGTCTACAAAAAAATTTAAATATTAGCCAAGCGTGGCACATGCCAGTTACTCAGGAGGCTGAGGTGGGAGGATCCCTGGAACTAGGGAGGCGGAGGTTGCAGTAAGCCGAGATTGCACTACTGCACTCCAGTCTGGGTGAGGGAGCTAGACCCTGTTTCACAAAAGAAAAAAGAAAAGAAAAACAGTATAAAATGAATAGAAATGCTGGGCATGGTGGCTCACGCCTGTAATCCCAGCACTTTGAGAGGCTAAGGCAGGCGGATCACAAGGTCAAGAGATCAAGACCACCCTAGCCAACATGGTGAAACCCTGTCTCTACTAAAACTACAAAAATTAGCTGGGCATGGTGGCACGTGCCTGTAATCCCAGCTACTTAGGAGGCTCAGGCAGGAGAATAGCTTGAACCCAAGAGGCAGAGGTTGCAGTGAGCCAAGGTCGCGCCACTGCACTCTGGCCTGGTTACAGAGCAAGACTCCATCTAAAAAAAAGAAAAGAAAAGAAAAAGAATAGAAATATTGATCCTTAACTCTACATTGCTGGGCTGGCATACAATGAGACTAGTTTAAGGAGCTGGACAAAGAAGGGATTACAAATTCCTTTTGCTGGATAGATAACAGAGGCTGGGTAGGGTATGTGGGAGGAAGCAGAAGGATGAAGAGAAATTGGTTAAAGGGTACAAACATACAGTAAGATAGAAGAAATAAATTCAATGGTTTTTGTTGTTTTAAGACCGTGTCTCGCTCTATCTCCCATGGAGTGCAGTGGATCAATCACAGCTCTCTGCAACCTCGATTTTCCAGGCTCAAGTAAGTGTTCCTCCCACCTCAGTCTCCTGAGTGGCTCACATGCACCACCACACTCAGCAAATTTTTAAATTTTTTGTAGAGACAGGGTATCCCTATATTTCCCAGGCTGGTCTCCAACTCCTGGGCTCAAGTGATCTGCCCACCTCGGCCTCCCAAAGTTCTGGAGTTACAGGCGTAAGTCACCATGCCCAGTCCCAAATTCAGTGTCTGATATTGATAGCAGGGTAGAGTGAGAGTACATTTTTTTTTTTTTTTGAAACAGTCTCACTCTGTTGCCCAGACTGGAGTGCAGTGGTGCAGTCTCAGCTCTCAGCTCACTGCAACCTCAGCCTCCTGGGTTCAAGCACTTCTGGTGCCTCAGCCATCCTAGTAGCTGGGATTACAGGCACGTGCCACCAGGCCCAGCTAAATTTTGTATTTTTAGTAGAGACAGGGTTTCACCATGTTGGCCAGGCTGGTCTCGAACTCCTGACCTCAAGTGATCCACCCGCCTCTGCCTTCCAAAGTGCTGGGATTACAGACATGAGCCACCACACCAGGCCAAGAGTACACATAACAAAAATGTATTGTGCTCAGATAATGGACACCTTAAATACCCTGACATCATCACTACACATTATATACATGTAACAAAATTTCACATGTATCCTATAGATTTGTACACATTTTAAAAATAATAAAAAGTTAGCTGCACGTGATGGCACATGTCTGTAATCCCAGGTACTCAGGAGACTGAGACAGGAGAATCACTTGAACCTGGGAGGCATAGGTTGCAGTGAGCCGAGATATGCCACTGCACTCCAGCCTGGGTGACAGAGTGAGCCCATCTCAAAAATAAAAAAAAAAAAAAAAAATGAAATGACACTTTTTGGGGGAAAAAAAAAATACAGGCCAGACGCGGTGGCTCACGCCTATAATCCCAGCACTTTGGGAGGCCGAGGCTGGCGGATCACTTGAGCCCAAGAGTTCGAGACCAGCCTGGGCAACAAGACAAAACCCTGTCTCTCCCCAATCCCCCTCAAAAAAAAAAAAAAAAATTAGCCAGACTTGCTGTCATACGTGCCTGTAGTCCCAGCGACTCAGGAGGGAGAGGTGGGAGGATCGCTTGATCCCGGGAGGCAGAGGTTTCAGGGAGCCGAGATCTTGCCACTGTACTCCATCCTGGGCGACAGAGTGAGCAGAGTGAGTTCCAGTATCAAGAAAAAAAAAAAAAAAAAAAAAAACTCCTTTTGCTGGGGCACGTTGGTGAAGACGGGTGGCTAGGGGATAAGTATACAGTTTTTCTCTAGGCGGGAAACTTAATTGGAGTTTATCAGGCGCGAGCCATTAACAAAATTTGCGCCCTCTAAGCTAACACGGCAATATGGGGCTTAGACATCATAGCTCATCCCCAGTCGCGAAAAACCCTCCTTATTTGCTTGGGATTGGAAAGAAAAAGAAAATATACATTCATACTTTCATACATGACATACACACACACACACATTTACATACGAATGCATACAGAAAGCACATGAAACACAAGCAGAATTAACTGTATTGTTCACACGACCACTCAGTGAAATGTATACGGTATATTGTGTTTGAAATATATATTCAGTGAAATATATACTTCCCTTCAAGTGTTTCAAATTCAAGGCTGAGAAAGGACTTGGTCTCTTGCTTAGACTTGAGGAACCTCACTCGGAACTGGAAGGATGTATGCAATCTAGTTGCCCCACCGGCTTATTTATATTGATACACACATCGCTTCCTGTCGGCGACGACCGCCTAGATCCGGGGAAGGGTTTTGCAAACGTACCCAGAACTGTTTCCAAGGTTTCCTCAGATTTGGGCTGTTCCGCAGCGGCAGGTCCCGGGAACCAAGGCAACAGATTATCTTCCTAGGCTCGCGAGAGCGCCACCTTCTCCCACTGCTGCTGGGGACCCCCAGTAGCAATGGCTCCGGTGTCCGGCTCGCGCACCCCGGATAGGGAGGCCTCGGGCTCGGGGGGAAGACGTCGCAGTTCGTCCAAGAGTCCGAAGCCCAGCAAATCTGCCCGCTCCCCGCGGGGCCGCCGCTCTCGCTCGCACTCTTGCTCTCGGTCCGGGGACCGGAATGGACTCAGCCATCAGTTGGGTGGCCTCAGCCAAGGCTCCCGAAACCAGTCCTACCGCTCACGCTCCCGGTCGCGTTCTCGAGAGCGGCCCTCTGCACCCCGGGGCATCCCCTTCGCTTCTGCCTCCTCGTCAGTCTATTATGGCAGCTACTCGCGCCCCTACGGGAGCGACAAGCCTTGGCCTAGCCTCCTCGACAAGGAGAGGGAGGAGAGCCTGCGGCAGAAGTGAGTGAGACGGCCGCACTTTCTCTTGTACGAGCCTACGTGCCTTTAGAGTCCGATCTATCATTCATTCCGCTTCTGACCATTCGCATTTCGCTCACTCTGCTTGCCTTGCGCCCATTTTCATCCCTTTCTTTAATCCACCCACGACAACCCTTTATTCGTCCTTTTCATTTTCCCTTACCCTCAGGCCCCTTCATATAGTGCCCTGGTCTGCCGCTACCCCCTTCTACCTCCTGTCTTGTTAGCGAATATTGCCGAGAGCCTCATACCTACCAGAATTGTAGCATTTACCTGGTGGTGTCATTATCATTCGTGAATATATTTGTATTCACCACTAGACTGAGCTCATGGAAAGGAGGAGCCAGTGAACGAAGGAGAATTCTGATCACAGAATTCCAAGTGCCTAATACTTTATAGGCGCTCAACCATTGCTTGTTGAATGAAGGAACTCACAGGTCTGAGATAACAGGATATGTATGTAGAAATGTTTTGTGGGGAATTAGGAAGGGATGAAATCAAGGGTTTAAGTTGGAGAGGAAATAAACCTTCCCCTCAGACAAGACGATTAGATGCATGTAGGAAAAGTGATCTGATAAGCTATAGATGACCCCAACTTGAGGAAGGTCTTGTTAAGTGGTCTCAGTCTTGACGTCGAAAAATGACGCCAGAATGAGACGATCTCTGATGAAAGTGAGTATTGGAGTGGAAGAATGCATAGCTTGGGGATTGTTTTGTTTTGTTTTAGAGGCAGGGTCTAGCCCTGTCGCCCAGGCTGGAGTGCAGTGGTGCAGTCTTGGCTCACTGCAGCCTCCACTTTCTTGGGCTCAAGTGATCCTCCCACCTCTGCTTCCCTCATAGCTGGCACTATAGGTGTGCACCACCACACCCGGCTTATTTTTATATTTTTTGGTAGAGACGGTTTCACCATGTTGCCCAGGCTGGTATCGAACTCCTGGTCTCAAGTGATCCTCCCACTTTGGCCTCCCAAAGTGCTGGGATTACAGGTATGCCCCACATGCCCCGCTGAACCTGTCCTTTTCATCACTATACTTTATTACCTCCCACTGCCAAAAGAAAAAGGATCAAGACATCTCCCAGCTGTTGGAACTTTAACCTACCTCTCAATTCCTGTAATATTTCTAAGTTTCTCATCTTTTAAACATATAAGTGCACGTAAATAACTTAGTACAGTGCCTGACACATAATTTAACAATAAACGTAAGATATTAAGACTTACACAACAATAATTATGAGCCTTTTCCTTTCTCCTTAAAACTATGCATTTTTGGCCGGGCACAGAGGCTCATGCCTGTAATCCCAACACTTTAGGAGGCCAAGGCATGAGGATCACTTGAATCCAGGAGTTCAAGACCAGCCTGGGCAATAAAGGGTACCCTGTCTCTACAAAAAGTGTTTTAAAAATTAACTGGGCAAGGTGGCATGTGCTTGTAATATCAGGTACTAGGGATGCTGAAGTGGGAGGATCACTTTAGCTGGAGAGGTCAAGGCTTCAGTGAGCCATGATCTCACCACTGCACTCCAGCTTTGGTGACAGAGGGAGATCCTGTCTCAAAAACAAACAAAAAAAAACAAGCAAAAAAAAAAAAAAAAAAAAAAAAAAAAAAAAAAAAAAAAAAAAAAAACCGAAGAGAAGAAAAGGAAGAAAGAAAGGAAAAGGACAAACTCCAGAATCAGACTGAGTATGAAGCCCTTATTTGCCACTTAATAGCTGTGTGACCTTGAGGCCAGGAGTTCAAGATCAACCTGGGCAACAAAGCAAGACCTCTTTTTCTTTTTTTTTGAGACGGAGTCTCGCTCTGTCTTCCAGGTTAGAGTGCAGTGGCACGATCTTGGCTCACTGAAACTTCCGCCTCCTGGGTTTAAGCGATTCTCCTGCCTCAGTCTCCCTAGTAGCAGGGATTACAGGCATGCACCACCACAACTGGCTAATTTTTCTATTTTTAGTAGAGACGGGGTTTCACCATGTTGGCCAGGGGTGTCTTGAAATCCTAATCTCAAGCGATCTACCCACCTCAGCCTCCCAAAGTGCTGGGATTATAGGCTGTGCCACTGTGCTGAGCCACAAGACCTCATCTCTACAAAAAATAAAACACTTTTCTTTCGGGCTGGGTGTGGTGGCTCACACCTGTAATCCCAGCACCTGAGGTGGATCACCTGATTGAATTGAACCCAGGAGGTGGAGGTTGCAGTGAGCCAAGATCGTGCCACTGCACTCCAGCCTGGGCAACAGAGCAAGACTCCGTCTAAAAAAATAAATAAATAATAAAATAAAATAAAAACTTTTCTTTCATTTTCAGAACTTCAGTTGTTTTCTACATCTAATGCATCATTTTTATTTTCTTCATTAATTCCTCGGTTTCTGAAAACTGAAGGTTGGACCAAATCAAAAGAGACTTCTCTTCACCTTTCATAAATCTGTAAACAAATGAAGTTACTTACAAATGTGAAACTGTTTCTGTCACATATTACAGATGATGAAATGAGCAATTAAGAGCTTGTCATGCATTCAGCAGAATGGATGCACTTGACAGTCTCCCAGGCCATCATTTCTATAGTCTGTACCATTTGATAGTATCATCAGAACATCAGACTTAAGTGATGAGTTTACATTTAAACCAAGTTTTTATTCATGTTTAAAATATAAGGGGAAAAAAGGCTTAACTAGACTCCTATTGAATTTGATTATATATTTAGGAAACAACTCAGCCATTGAGTTATAATTTACATATCTTTATCTGCTAGGAGATTAAGTGAGAGAGAGAGAATTGGAGAACTGGGAGCTCCTGAAGTATGGGGACTTTCTCCAAAGAATCCTGAACCAGAGTAAGTGGTTAAAAAATATATTTTTAAATGTTATAATATGTGTTTAAATCCTGACTCTATTATCAAAATGTTTAAGTGAAGAACTTTAAATATATCTCACATTTTTCTTTCTTGTGATTTATATTCATCTACCCCTTACGTTTTAAAAACATAGAACATATCTAAAGATTAAAACATGTTGCTAGTAGATTTTAGCATAATCTAAAATAATTCGTAAAGTATAAATTTTCTATTAATAGAAGGGTTCATTGTTAAATACACATTATTTTGAATTATTTTTTCTCAACTAACTCAGTGGCAGATTGCATGCCAGATATTAGCATTACAAAGAGTTTTTTGTTTTTGTTTTTGTTTTTGTGTTTTTGAAATGGAGTCTTGCTCTGTCGCCCAGACTGGAGTGAAATGGTGCAGTCTCAGCTCACTGCAACCTCTACCTCCTGGGTTCAAGTGATTCTCCTGCCTCAGCCTCCTGAATAGCTGGGATTACAAGCGCCTGCCACCACACCCGGCTAATTTTTGTATTTTTAGTAGAGACGGTGGTTTCGCCATGTTGGCCAGGCTGGTCTCGAACTCGTGACCTCGTGATCCGCTTGCCTCGGCCTCCCAAAGTGCTGGGATTACAGGCGTGAGCCACTGCACCCGGCCTGCAAAGAGATTTTTTTAAATGAATATACCAGTATGGTTTTGTTTGGTTAATATTCCTATATCCAATACTGTCTGCAGGCTTAATGCTTTTTCTTTTTGCTTATTTCTTTTCTCTTTGATGCTACTCATATGTTTCTTCTTCCCTCTCTATTTCTGTGCGAACTTTAGGTTGAGTTGAGACAATGTGTTTGACAGGTAAACCTGTAATTTGTGACTGAATAATAAAGCATTATTATCTGAAACTTTTTCTTACAGATACCTTTAGAAATTCTTGAAGAGGCTAGGTGCAGTGGCTCACATCTGTAATCACGGCACTTTGGAAGGCCAAGGCAGGTGGATTCCTTGAGCCCAGGAGTTCAAGACCAGCCTGGGCAAATAACGAGACCCCATCTCTATTTAAGAGGGAAAAAAAAAAAGAAAATGCTTGAACCTGAATGCATTGAATTAGAGTTGGAAGGAACCCTAAAAATAGTTTTCTTTCTTTCTTTTTTTTTTTTTTGAGACACAGTCTCACTCTGTCACCCAGGCTGGAGTGCAGTGGTGCGATCTCGGCTCAGCTCACCACAACCTCCGCCTCCCAGGTTCAAGTGATCCTCCTGCCTCAGCTTCCCGAGTACCTGGGATTACAGGTGTGCGCCACCATGCCCGGCTGATTTTTGTATTTTTAGTAGAGATGGGGTTTCACCATGTTGGTCAGGCTGGTCTTGAACTCCAGACCTCATGATCCGCCCACCTCGGCTTCCCAAAGTGCTGGGATTACAGGCGGGGGCCACCACGCCTAGCCAAAATAATTTTCTAGACGATATTTAAATTACTCCAAGTGTAATCTTCAGAGGAAAATACTATATGATGTGGAAACTCCTTTTCTAAACTATTGTAGAATTTAAATAATACTCATTTTCAGAATTCTCTGCAACAGAACAAAATCTCTTTAGACTGTAGTTTGTTAGGTTTTTGTTCTGAGGAGACAGAACAGTTACTGCTTTACCATTTGTCTTTTACATGATTAAAATAAAATTATAAAGTCTTTCTTCAGCCTTCTTATATCCTGTTTCTTTAATCTTTCCTATGGTTCCTGTTTCTCTACTTTTTCCCTGTAGTTTCTTATGAAAATATAAATCCTCCATGCTGCTTTGTTTAAATAGCACTCTGTAAACTCTAAAGTGTTATGCAGATGATAAGTTATTTTATTTTTACAAAGATGGTAGACCCTTGAACTGCACGTTTATGAAAGTAATTCAGTGCTTGCTTTGTTGTTGTTTTGGTTTTTTTGATTCCCAAGTTCTGCCTTAGGATCTCCAATGCTTGCTTTTAATGGTTCTTGGACAATCAATGCTGTTATTGAAAAATTTGGAGTTCATATTTTTACATTCCATGGTCCATATCTCGTCACTTTCCTAATTCTTATAACCATTTTATTTAAATTCAGTTCTGATGAACATACACCAGTGGAGGATGAAGAGCCAAAGAAAAGCACTACTTCAGCTTCCACTTCAGAAGGTATTTAAAAAAAAAAAAAAAAAAGATATTTTTTAAATACAGAGCTATTTTATTGAGAAATTTTTAAAAATCAGTTTGTAAATAGTTGAACATTAGACTTTGCTTTTACTCAAATTGCCCATCGTCTGTTTCTTTTGATGTTCAGAAATACTTTTTTAGAATATAACTTTTTTATTTGTATTTTCTTAGAAGAAAAAAAGAAGAAGAAGAAGTCTAGCCATTCAAAAGAAAGGTCTAAGAAAAGGAGAAAGAAAAAATCATCAAAAAGAAAACATAAGAAGTATTCTGAAGATAGTGACAGTGACTCTGATTCTGAAACAGACTCCAGTGGTAAGAAAGCCAACAGCATTCTGTAAGCCTTGCTTCAAAACTAGTTTTACTTCTTAAAACTTATTTTAGAAGAAGGTTCCTGGAAACAATAATAATACTGAAGATTTTTTGAACACTTGCTAACCTTGTGCCAGGTACCCCAATAAGCACTTTATATTCATTATTGCCATTTAATCCATACAATAACTGTAGGGTACATCTTATAGATGAAGAAAAGGAGACAGAGCAGGTTACAAGTACTATCCCTAAGGTCACACAGTTTGGATTCAAACCTAAGCAATCTGACTCCGTATTGGGATTGGTTGTGCAAAGTTTTACAAGGCACATGGCACCAGACCGAGTCAGGGGGTTGGGCTGTACCAAAGTAAGCCTTACAGGGCTGCATCAGCCCAGTGGAAGGGCTCTTTTGTTTAATTCTCGTGCCCAGTGAGCACCTCTGTACAGTTTTCAAAAAGGTATGCCATAAAGTGCCTACTTCATGCTGGCTGCCTATTTGTGGAAGGCACCCTATCTGCAGTAGTGCATCACAAAAAGTCTCTTTTTTTACTCTCTCCTGTCTGATGATTGACCAGAAGGTGCCTCCTCTGAGGTTAACACATTACACAAAGATTCACCGTCCTCTGATATCGCCCAAGTTTCCTGGCCCTCCCTGTCACTTCTCTTCCTCAATGCTGGAAGACAGAACTTTCAAATATTTCTGTATGCATCCCTTAAAAAGAGGCATTTTTTTATACTTAACTACAACACTATCTCATACAATAAAATTAATAATAATACCCTATATCACGAAATACCTACTTAAAATCCTTCAATAGCACTCCATAGCCTTCAGGGTGAAGTTCAGACCCTGACTCACTTCTCTCTAATCACGTATACCCTGTTACACTGTCTTGCAGCATCCTCTGTAATCTGAAAACTACTTTCTGTCTCCTCAGTATTCCGTGTTCTTTCTCTTAATTGTTACTTGGTAGAGAGGCCCTCTGCCTACAATGCCAGTCTCTCCCTCCATCCAGCTTGGTTTACTCATTGCACCAATGGGCATGCATTACTTTTGTAATCAAAGAACTACTTTAAGAGTCACCTTTCCTTATCAACCATTCCTCAGTCACCCTCCCCAAATCAGTCTGATTTTGAGACTCCTCTGTGTGTCCAGGTTCCCCAAGCTTCCTTCTATCACTCCAGATTGTATTGATCTCTTTACCTGTCTCCTCCATTAGACTGAGCTCCAGGAAAGTATTCTCTCTCCCCTCCTCCAACACACACATAGTTTTCTTTCCCTTTTTATTATGAAAATATTTAAATATTCAGAAAAGCGAAGAGAATAGTATAATTAATACCATATACTTATCACCTAGATTTGGCAGTTGTTAGTATTTTTACATATTTGCTTCAAATACGGGCTTTTCACTGAGATAGTCAAAGTTAATTACAAATATTCTCACACTTTCACCCTAAATATTTCTGTATGTGTCCCGTAAAAAGAGGCATTTTCCTACTTAGCCACCATACTATCTCACACAATAAAATTAATAATAATACCCTATATCACCAAATACCTAGTGACTTTAATTTCTATGTTCACAGTACCTCCTACAGTTCCTGACAAATAGCAATAAATGTTTCAATGAGGTAATTTCTTTGTAACAATAAATGGGACAGCAGTAGGGTAGTTACCTACTCAAAAGTACTACAATTTTAGAGTTAAATTTTTTCTTAATTGTAATGTGCTTTAATTTGCAGATGAAGATAACAAAAGGAGAGCAAAGAAAGCCAAGAAAAAGGAAAAGAAGAAGAAACACAGATCGTCAGTTTTTTAAGTTTTATTATGGAAAATTTCTTTTCTTTTTTTTTTTTTGGAGACAGAGTCTCACTCTGTTGCTCAGGCTGGAGTGCAGTGGTTCGATCTCGGCTCACTGCAACCTCTGCCTCCCAGGTTCAAGCGATTCTCATGTCTCAACCTCCCGAGTAGCTGGGATTGTAGGCACCCACCACCATGCCTGGCTAGTTTTTGTGTTTTCAGTAGAGATGGGATTTCACCATGTTGGCCAGGCTGGTTTTGAACTCCTGACCTCAAGTGATCCTCCCACTTTGGCCTCCCAAAGTGCTGGGATTACAGGTGTGAGCCACCACACCCGGCCAGAAAATTTCAAATGTATATAAAATTATATAAAATAGTATAATGATGCCTCCTGCACCTGTCATGCAGTCTAAATAATTATCAACTCATGGTCAGTATCTGCCATCCATCATTTATTTTGGAACCAATCTCAGATATCATTCCATCCATAAGCAATTCAGTACCTTTCTCTAAAAGATAGGCATTCTTTAAAACAAAACAAAACAAAACAAAGCAAAAAACTGGCCAGACACAGTGGCACATATCTGTAATCCCTGCACTTTGGGAGGCCAGGCAGGAGGATCGCTTGAGCCCAGGAATTCAATACCAGCCTGGGCAACATAGCTAGACCCTGTCTCTATATTAAAAAAAAAAAAAACAACCCATAACCAGAATGCTACTATTGTGCCTAAAACATTTAATAATAATTCCTCAATTCTCAGCCGTTTTTTCTGTAGTTTATTCCAATCAGGATCCAAATAATGTCCCTAAATTGCAATGACTGTATTCTTATGGTTTTTTTGGCATGTTCTGTCCTCTGTATTTCTAATAGATTGATAGGTCTAGAGGCCTGACAAGGTTCAGATTTGAGTTTGGGGCAAGAATACTTCATAGGTGGTGCTGTGTACTGTCAGTAGGCAAATAATGTCTGGTTGTCTCTTTTTATCATATTAACAACCATTGATGGTCATTATCTCGATCAATTATTTCATTAGGGGTTGTAAAATGATGATAGTAATCCTAGCTTTATCCTTCGTTTATTAGGCGAATAATTCTTTAAGAGAAACTTACCCTCATCAACTATTTAGATACCCTGAAATACAGTTATATAGTAAGAGCAGGATAATTGCTTGATTGTTTTTGTTTTATTACTTTTCAAATAATGAATTGAATTTTTTAAAAGTTTTATGAACCCAAGGATTTAAACATATTTGATATTTTAATCCATTACACATAAAATTGTTCATAATGTTCAAATTGTTGGAACTTTTTAGGCTGTTTTATTTCTGTTGTCTTTCTACAACATCAGAACTGTATTTCATTATTCCCTTTAGTGAATTTTTTTTTTTTTTTTTTGAGACCGTGTCTCACCCTGTCACCCAGGCTGGAGTGCAGTGGCACGATCACAGCTCACTATAACCTCAACCTTCCAGGATCAAGCCATCCTCCCACCTCTGACCCCACCTTCCCCATACCTGGGACTACAGACGTGTGCCACCACACCTGGCTAATTTTTATATTTTTTGTAGGGACACAGTTTTGTCATGTTGCCCAGGGCTAGTTTCTAACCCCTGGGCTCAAGTGACCTACCCGCCTCAGCCTCCCAATGTGCTGGGATTACAGGGGTGAAACACTACACCCAGCCTCCTTTAGTGATCATTTTTATAGCAAAAGATGATTTGGTTAAATAAGAATAGTTTTTTAAAAAATTGTTTAGAGACAGTGTCTCGCTCTGTTGCCCAGGCTGGAATGCAGTGGCTAATCATAGCTCATTGCAGCCTTGAACTCCTGGGCTCAAGTGATCCTCCCTCCTCAGCCTCCTGAATAGCTTAGACTACAGGTGTGTGTGCCATCACACCCAGCTACTTTTTTTTTTTTTTTAATAGAGACGAGGTCTTGCTATGTTTCCAAGGATAAGTTAGAAGCAGATTTTTTTAAGTAAAATTATCTTGCAAATTTGAATACTCTGGGAACTCGGATCATTTTATTGTCACCTTTCTTTGCCTTGAAAAATTAAGATATATAGTTACCAGTTCAAAATTTAGAAAGAAAAAGAAAAAGATGCCCTCTAACATAGGAAGATTAAGTGAATTTGCATCAAATTATAATCCCTATAGGAAGAAATATAAGAAAAAGAGGTCTAAGAAGAGCAGAAAAGAGTCCAGTGATTCAAGCTCTAAAGAATCCCAAGAAGAGTTTCTGGAAAATCCCTGGAAGGATCGAACAAGTAGGTTCTTCTGATAGACTTTAACTCAGAACAGATGAAACATTAAAGTAACCAATTAGTCAGAATGTGAATGTGTTTCTTAATATCTTTCATGCAGAGGCTGAAGAACCCTCAGATTTAATTGGCCCAGAGGCTCCAAAAACACTTACCTCTCAAGATGATAAACCTTTGAAGTAAGTAGCAGTGTGTTTATAATATCTAAAGTACCTTCCAAAAAGTCTGGTTCTAACTTACCTTGCCAAGCTTATCTGACTCTGTTCCCTTATATCTACTTCGGGTTCTGGCTGAGCTTGACTACTAAATATTCCCTGTGCTTAATGTGTACTTTGCAACTTTTATGCAGTGTTCAGCTTATTTCTTCATCCAGTATGCCTTCCCTTCTTTTCCCTGCCCTTTGTTCTCTTCCTTATCCCCAGTTTCTTCCTGTTAAAATCCTTACTATCCTTCGAAGCACTTTTCAAAAGGAGATGGATATGCTGACTCCCAGTACTTCCCCTCCACAAGTAGGTGTGATTTGTATTTCTCTTTGATCCTCACAGAATTTTTTATTCCTTTTTTTCTTATTTTTTTTTTACCAGCAGAATTTTTTTTTTCTTTTTTTGAGACAGAGTCTCGCTCTGTCACCCAGGCTGGAGTTTAGTGGCATGATCTTGGCTCGCTGTAACCCCTGCCTCCCAGGTTCAAGCGATTCTCCTGCCTCAGCCTCCTGAGCAACGGGGATTACAGGCATGCGCCACCACACCCAGCTAATTTTTTTGTATTTTCAGTAGAGACGAGGTTTTACCATGTTGGTCAGGCTGGTTTCAAATTCCTGACCTCATGATCCACCTGCCTCAGCCTCCCAAAGTGCTGGGATTACAGGCGTGAGCCACCATACCTGGCCTAGAATTTTTTGTTTGTTTGTTTTGTTTTGTTTTTTTGAGATGGAGTCTCACTCTGTCTCCCAGGCTGAAGCACAGTGGCGTGATTGAGTTTCACTCTGTCGCCCAGACTGGAGTGCAGTGGCATGATCTTGGCTCACTGCAACCTCCGCCTCCCAGATTCAAGTGATTCTCCTGCCTCAGCCTCCCAAGTAGCCAGGGTTACAGGCGCCTGCCACCACGCCCGGGCTAATTTTTGTATTTTTAGTAGAGATGGGGTTTCACCATGTTGGCCAGGATAGTCTCGAACTCCTGACCTCAAGTGATCTGCCCGCTTCAGCCTCCCAAAATGCTGAGATTACAGGCATCAGTCACTACACTCAGCCTACTTTGGATTTTTTTTTTTTTTTTTTTGAGACAAAGTCTCGCTCTGTCACCCAGGCTGGAGTGCAGTGACACGATCTCGGCTCACTGCAACCTCCACCTCCCGGGTTCAAATGATTCTCCTGCCTCAGCCTCCTGAGTAGCTGGGACTACAAGCATGCACCACCATGCCCGGCTAATTTTGTATTTTTAGTAGAGACGGGGTTTCGCCATGTTGGCCAGGCTGGTCTCGAGCTCCTGACCTCAGGTGATCCGCCCGCCTCGGCCTCCCAAAGTGCTCGGATTATAGGCATGAGACACTGTGCCTGGCATACTTTGGATTTTTTAAGGGAAAAAGGGAAAGGGAATCAGCTGGAGCCAGAACCAGTAATGACAATACCTGTAGGGATAAATTAATCCATAATTGTAAACTGTGAATCTATACTCACATCAGTCCTTTTTTTCAAAATATTTCTGCATTTCTGGGTTAGTTGTATAGGTCATAGTGCAATGCAATATTTAATACACTAATTAGGATAAAGCAATTCACATTGAGCTTCCTAGCACACTACTGCTCAGCATTGTTACTCCTACTCTTGTCTGAGAGAAAATGTGGGGTTTTTTGGTGCTCTCTTTAGATTATGAGTTTTTAATATTAAGATGATTTAATGGACGTTTTCTGAATTCTGAATTACTTTGTAGCTATGGCCATGCTCTGTTACCTGGTGAAGGCGCAGCTATGGCTGAATATGTAAAAGCTGGAAAACGTATCCCACGAAGAGGTGAAATTGGCTTGACAAGTGAAGAAATTGCATCATTCGAATGCTCAGGTTATGTAATGAGTGGTAGCAGGTATGTTATTAGCATTAAGCTCAGTTTCCATGACTAGATCTTCTTTTTTACTACCAGAATTATATTTTCGTAATTGATTCTCATTAAGTGACTGTTTCTTATTAAAAGTAGAGTATAAATATTGGTTTGATATTAGTTTTGTTAGTATAACATGGTTTTCTGCAATTCCAAGTATATATGCAACTCAGCCTCAAACTCAGCTATATCTCTGACTTCAAAGAATCAGTCTTTCTAATGTCCTTTCCTAGTTGGTATTTGGGTACAGATATTTTATCCACTGGAGGATATAGTTAAATTCAGCTATTTATCACTGTCCCGTGAGGAATGTGGCAATTAGGGAAATATTTTCGCAAGACAGTGTTTCCTGGTTACAAGTTTGTCTCCAGTTCTTTATGGGCCCAGATTTCTGAGACTGAATAACAGAAAAAGATGATAAAAGACATTGGTCAGCTGAGAACATGTCCTGGCTAATAAATAAATGAATAAATATATAAATTTTAAAAAGACACTGGATTCAGCATGGGGAAACAAATATAAAATTAGGAAAGGGAAAAGTTCCAGGAAGAACCAGGAGAATGAGCTAATAGGGCAGGAGTATTTAGATCAAATTGAATTTTGGATTCTTTAAAACTTGATAAACTTTTTAAAGTAGATAACTATTTTTAAATGATATTGAAGGCAAATATTTGCAGAAACCCTGAAGCACCTCCAGAATCTTGTAATTCTGAGGACCAATATTTGAATTATTACATTGGAGGACCCATGCAGTAAGGCAAGAAGGAGAAATTAGAGACACAAGGATTGGAAAGGAAGGCCGGGCACAGTGGCTCATGCCTGTAATCCCAGCACTTTGGGAGGCCAAGGCAGGCAGATCACTTGAGCCCAGGAGTTCAAGACTAGCCTGGGCAACATGGTGAAACCCATCTCTACTAAAAACACAAAAATTAGCCAGACGTGGTGGTACGCAGCTGTAATCCCAGCTGCTCAGGAGGCTGAAGCAGGAGAATCGCTTGAACCCAGAAGGCAATGAACCAAGATCACACCACTGCATGCCAGCTTGGAGAGCAAGACTCGGCCTGAAAAAACAATAATAATAATAATAATATAATAAGGATTGGAAAGGACAATATAACAATGTCATTTTTTATCCAGGTGCGGTGGCTCACGCCTGTAATCCCAGCACTTTGGGAGGCATAGTCGGGTGGATCACCTGAGGTCAGGAATTCAAGACCAGCCTGGCCAACATGGTGAAACCCCGTCTTTACCAAAAATACAAAAATTAGCTAGGCATGGTGGCGGACGCCTGTAGTCCCAGCTACTCAGGAGGCTGAGGCAGGAGAATCACTTGAATCCAGGAGGCGGTTGCAGTGAGCCAAGATCATGCCATTGCACTCCAGCCTGGGTGACAAGAGTGAAACTCCATCTCAAAAAATAAAATGTCATTTTTTTGTGAATGACATTGTGAATGATTTGATTGTTTACATAGAAAATCCCAAAGAATTTCCAGATAAATTATAAATAAGAGGAGTGTTTTAACAAATGGTTGGATATAAGGTTAATACACAAAAATCCATTGCATTTCTATTTACCAGCAACAGATAACTAGAAAATGTAACTAAATAAGAAGAAAACAACATTTGTAATAGTATCAGAGAATATGAAGGACTTCAGAATAAATCTTAACAAAAGATGCCCAACACTCTGTGAGGAAAACTATAAAACATTATTAAGAGATTGTATATTCAATACAGTTCCAATAAAAATGAATTTCATTTCTATTTACCAACAGCAGAAACCTAGAAAGTTTATAACAGTGTCAGAATATGAAGGACTTAAGAATAAATCTTAACAAAAGATGCCCCAGGTTCTATGGAGAAAAATGTAAGACTTTAAGAATCTGTGTATTCAACAGTTCCAATCAAAATCACAACATAGTTTTCCATGAGACTTATTCAGCTGGTTCTAAAATGTATATATTACACTAAAAGGACAAGAATAGCCAGGTCACTTCTGAAGAAGAAGAGCAAGAAGGTAAGATTAAAGAAAACTTAAATAACGAGAGATACCAGGTTCATGGATAGGAAATCAATATTGTAAAGTTGTTAGTTCTTCCCAAATTGATCTTTATATTGAATACAGTCCCAATCAAAATCACAACACAGTTTTTCATGAAACTTAATAAGCCAGTTCTAAAATTTATATGTTAGACTAAAAGGACAAGAATAGCCAAATCACTCCTGAAAAAGAAGAGCAGGAAGGTAAGATTTCCCCTACAAGATAGGAGGATTTATTATGAAGCTCACAGCACTTCAGAAAGCATGGGAGAACAACTGAATTGTTCAATGGAATAAAATTCAGGCTGGGCGCAGTGGCTCACGCCTGTAATCCCAGCACTTTGGCAAGCTGCGGCAGGTGGATCACCTGAGGTCAGGATTTCAAGACCAGCCTGGCCAACTTGGTGAAACCTCGTCTCTACTAAAAATACAAAAATTAGCTGGGTGTGGTGGCGGGTTCCTGTAGTCCCAGCTACTTGGGAGGCTGAGGCAGGAGAATGACTTGAGCCCATGAGGCAGAGGTTGTAGTGAGCTGACACCTCGCCATTGTACTCCAGCCTGGGCAACAAGAGCAAAACACTATCTCAAAAAATAAAAATAAAAATAAAATTCAGAGCCCAAAGATACATGTTTGGAACTTCAGTGTATGAAAGAGATAGCATGTCGGATCAATGGGGAAAGAAAGAACCATTCAGTACATGAAATAGGAAAGAAATGGTTATTCATATGAAAAAAGATGAAAGTAGGACCTTGTATCACCAAATATAAAAAGCAGTGCAGCAGCCAGGCATGGTGGCTCACACCTGTAATCCCAGCACTTTGGGAGGCCGAGGCAGATGATTCACTTGAGGCCAGGAGTTCAAGACCAACCTGGCCAACATGGTGAAACCCTGTCTCTACTAAAAATATAAAAAGGAGCCGGACGTGGTAGCAGGTGCCTGTAATCCCAGCTACTCAGGAGGCTGAGGCAGGAGAATCGGTTGAACCTGGGAGGCAAAGGTGTCAATAAGCCGAGATTGTGCCACTGCACTCCAGCCTGAGTGACGGAGGGAGACTCAGAAGTTAAATCCACTGACAAAAACTGCTCTTCAATTATAGATTTAGACTTGGTTCTTTTTTTTTTTTTTTTTTTGACCTAGTTTCACTCTTGTCCCCCAGGCTGGAGTGCAGTGGCGCGATCTCAGCTCACTGCAACCTCCGCCTCCTGGGTTCAAACGATTCTCCTGCCTCAGCCTCCCGGGTAGCTGGGATTACAGGCACCTGCCACCACACCCAACTAATTTTTGTATTTTTAGTAGAAACGAGGTTTCCCCACGTTGGCCAGGCTGGTCTTGAACTCCTGACCTCAAGTGATCTGCCCGCCTCAGCCTCCCAAAGTGCTGGGATTACAGGCGTGAGCCACCGTGCCCAGCCTAGACCTGGTTCTTTTGGTTGTATGGTAAAGTAGAACCTTGAAGGAAGTTCCATCTGATTAATGACTAGTTAAATGTTTTATCTGTCCTGCTATCAATTCCACAAAGGCAAATGGATATATCACCTAGGAAGTTTAATAATTTGCCCATTTCTGGGTGTTTTACTGGAAACAAATTAGACGTATACCCTTACTATTTGAAATTAATGATAGTGGCCGGGCACGGTGGCTCACATCTGTAATCCCAGCACTTTGGGAGCCGAGGCGGATGGATCACCTGAGGTCAGGAGTTCGAAACCAGCCTGGCCAACATGGCGAAACCCCATCTCTACTAAAAATAGAAAAATTAGTCGGGCGTGGTGGTACACACCTGTAGTCCTGGCTACTCGGGAGGCTGAGGCAGGGGAATCACTTGAGCCTGGGAGGCAGAGGTCGCAGTGAGCCAAGATTGCGCCACTGCACTCCAGCCTGGGTGACAGAGCCAGACTACATCTCAAAAAAGAGAAAAAAAAAAAAAGGATAACATGTACTATGTTGACAGGATATCAGAGATCATTATTTGAATAGTGGAAATGAATCAAAGACATATCAGGGCCAGGCACGGTGGCTCACACCTGTAATCTCAGCACTTTGGGAGGCTGACACAGGTGGATTACTTGAGTTCAGGAGTTTGAGATCATCCTAGCCAACATGGTGAAACTCCGTCTCTACTAAAAATACAAAAATTAGCTGGACCTGTAATCCCAGCTACTCAGGAGGCTGAGATAGGGGAATTGCTTGAGCCAGGGAGGTGGAAGTTGCAGTGAGCCGAGATTGCACCACTGCACTCCAGCCTGGGCGACAGAGCAGGACTCCGTCTCAAAACAAAACAAAACAAAACAAAAAGGACGTGTCAGGCAGCTAAAATATTAATAAATTATCTTTTGGAAATTTAACCCATTTCAAAAGCAGTTTTTATTTGTCAGCTGTTAAATAGACCACTCTGGGTAAGAAAGGATTAATGAGGATGTATTATGAAAATAATTACTGAGAAATTAAGCCAAAACTAAAATTCTCTCCAGGCATCGCCGAATGGAGGCTGTGCGACTGCGAAAAGAGAACCAGATCTATAGTGCTGATGAGAAGAGAGCCCTTGCATCCTTTAACCAAGAAGAGAGACGAAAGAGAGAGAACAAGATTCTGGCCAGTTTTCGGGAAATGGTTTACAGAAAGACCAAAGGGAAGGATGACAAATAAGGATTTTCTGATTGTCCAGAAGACATTTTTAACAACAAAAAAGAAAGTCTGGGTTCCACACATACATAGAAAAAGATTATTATGTTCTGAGAAAGCTTTACAGTGCTACTGTGCCTTCTATTTAATTCTTTCAGTCCTTCAATAAAAAGCTACTTATTGATATAACTTCAGCAAGTTCTTTGGGTTATTTTGGATTGACCATAATAACTTTCTGGTTTAAAAATTCAAATTATGGGCTGGGCATGGTGGCTTACGCCTGTAATCCCAGCACTTTGGGAGGCCAAGGCAGGGGGATCACTTGAGGACAGGAGTTCGAGACCAGCCTGGCCAACATGGTGAAACCCTGTCCCTACTAAAAATACAAAATCAGCCAGGAGTGGTGGCGCACACCTGTAGTCCCAGCTACTCAAGAGGATGAGGCAGGAGAATCACTTGAACCTAGGAGGTGGAGGTTGCAGTGAGCCGAGATTGTGCCACTACACTCCAGCCTGGGCAACAGAGCAAGACTCTGTCTCAAAAAAAAAAAACATGCCAGGCACGGTGGCTCACGCCTGTAACCCCAGCACTTTGGGAGGGCAAAGTGGGTGGATCACCTGAGGTCAGGAGTCGAGACCAGCCTGGCCAACATGGTGAAACCCTGTCCCTACCAAAAAATACAAAATTTAGCCGGGCATGGTGGTGGGCGCCTGTAATCCCAGCTACTTGGGAGGCTGAGGCAGGAGAATTGCTTGAATCCAGGAGGCGGAGGTTGCTGTGAGCCGAGATTGTGCCATTGCACTCCAGCCTGAGCAAGAAGGGTGAAACTCTGTCTCAAAAAAAAAAAAAAAAAATCCAAATTATGATTAAAATCCTACTGTATTGGAAGAGGTGGCATGAAAAAAAGTATTAGTGAGATGAGAAACTTCAATCTCACACCATGAGACAGTGCTACTATTAGCTTTTATGTGGTGCCTGTCCCACCCCCCACCTCTACCCCAACTGAACTTTTAGGAAATTATCACTCCTCTGTGTTGAATGTGTTACAAATGGACTTGATAGAAACATATAGGAGGCCACTTTTGTTAACAAAATGAAGGCATTGCTGCGAAAAGCAAATCTGGAATTTGAAAACTGATTTGTGTACTATAATATATGATCTGCCCTGGAAATAATGGGTTTTGATTTAAGTCCCTGCCTCCACTCTAAAACCAACAAACAAACCAAAAAGCAAACTAACCCACAGATTTGTTGAATTGAAAATATGAACATTAGATATTTTAAATGGTTTCTTTTTTGAGATGGAGTTTCGCTCTTGTTGCCCAGGCTGGAGTGCAGTGGGGCGATTTCGGCTCACCACAACCTCCGCCTCCTGGGTGCGAACAATTCTCCTGCCTCAGCCTCCTGAGTAGCTGGGATTACAGGCATGTGCCACCATGCCCAGCTAATTTCGTATTTTTAGTAGAGATGGGGTTTCTCCATGTTGGTCAGGCTGGTCTAGAACTCCCAACCTCAGGTGATCTGCCCGCCTCGGCCTCCCAAAGTGTTGGGATTACAGGCGTGAGCCACCGTGTCTGGCCTAAATTCTTAATAAGTTACTTAAAAATGGTTCTTTCAAATATAAAGTCTTAAGAAGTCTACTCTTTATGCCCATGTAAGTACTTTATTTCAATCTGAGCTGATATGAGCTTGAGGATAGGATGACATCCAAAAGAATAGGAGTTCTGATAAGGAAAAATATAATGAGTCAGTATTTTAGCTTAATTGTTTCATAAGAGAAACTAAAATGATATTAAATATTTTTAACTGTCTTTCATATACTAAGTAGATTTCATTTTATACACTGTTAAACCTTTCTGTTTAAGTTGGGGAGAAATGGAAAATTGTGGGACTCTGATATCATGATATTGTTCCTTCGTTTATTTTGTTCAATTTTGTTTAGGTCAGAAGAGTGAATGGGGGAGGGAACCCTGAAAGTTTTGGCTGTTTTCGTTAAAGTTGGTTTTCTGTTTTCTGTTTTTTGTTTTTTGAGATAGAGTCTCACTCTGTCACTCAGGCTGAAGCCCAGTGGTGCGACCTTGGTTCACTGTAACCTCAGCCTCCTGGGTTCAAGTGATCCTCCCACCTCAGCCTCCCGAGTAGCTGGGATTACAGGCACTCACCACCCCACCTAGCTTATTTTTGTATTTTCAATAGAGATGGGGTTTCGCCATCTTGGCCAGGCTGGTCTCGAACTCCTGACCTCAAGTGATCTGCCCACCTCAGCCTCCCGAAATGCTAGGATTACAGGTGTGAGCAACCGTGCCTGGCTGTTTTTGTTAAGGTTGTTTGATCTGCATTATTATTACATGCCTGTGATAAATTTAAATTACCTGGGTGATAAGGACATTCTGATTATACTATTGTAAAATGCCCTCTTGCCTTATATTTTTAAGTGGTTGTTTTTCAAGTGTTTAAATAAGGCAGTCATATTTCAAAGTATAGAGCGAAAGTTTTTTTATTATTATTTTTGAGACAGGGTCTCCCTCTGTCACCCAGGCTAGAGTTCAGTGGTGCAATCTCAGCTCACTGCAACCTCTGCCTCCTGGGCTCAAGCAATCCTCCACCTCAGCCTCCTGAGCAGCTGGCACTACCAGTGTGCACCACCATGCCTAGCTAATTTTTGTATATTTAGTAGAGACGGGGTTTCACCTTGTTGCCCAGGCTGGTCTCGAACTCCTGACCTCAAACAGTCCACCGCCTCGGCCTCCCAAAGTGCTGGGCGTGAGCCACCACACCCAGCCAAAAGTTTTATTATTAAATAGTATTAACAGTCATAAATACTATTAAATATATGTTCCAGGAAATGTCTACTTTTAACCCGCAACGACTGAAATAAAGAGCATGTAGCAACATTAATGACCCCTGAATTTCTGTTTATTTATACCTAATCATAGTTGCTGCCTAGCCTAATAAATCTGTAGTTTTCAAAAGTTAAAAAGAAACTAGTTCCCAAAGTTTTGAATCTCAATCCATCTACTTCCCTGAATAATAAAACCTGAATTTTATAATACCCACTTAAAAATTTTATTCTCAGCTGGGCGTGGTGGCTCACGCCTGTAATCCCAGCACTTTGGGAGGCGGAGGTGGGTGGGTCATGAGGTCAGGAGATCAAGACCATCCTGGCTAACTCGGTGAAACCCCATCTCTACTAAAAATACAAAGAATTTAGCCGGGTGTGGTGGCACGTGCCTGTAGTCCCAGCTACTCGGGAGGCTGAGGCAGGAGAATCACTTGAACCTGGGAGGTGGAGGTTGCAGTGAGCTGAGATCATGCCACTGTACTCCGGCTTGGGAGACAGAGCGAGACTACGTCTCTAAATAAATAAATAAATAAATAAATAAATAATCTCTAAGGACATTTTTTTTTTTTGGTTACTGGTTCCTAGAGATGAAATTATTATGTTCTCCTATTTTCAGTAGGCAAGGTAGTTTAAATGCAGAAATTTTGTTATATATGAATATTGTGACATCAAGAACAGCTTCATTGGCATATTCTTTGGGAAAGAGGCAGGAAGAATAAAACGGCTAAAAGTATTTTATTTTCAGCTCATGAGTGTTGTTACTGCTTCAAATTGTGTTTAGTCACCTGAGCCATAAATCAGTTATAGTAGGGCTATTGTATTTTAAATATATTTTTTATTCTCCAAGGAGACTTACCTAGTTTGCCACCTCCTTGCCTGTTGCTCTGATATGGTTTTCCCTCCTTTTTTATTTATTGCACAAATTTCTTACAGTTAAAAAAAAAAGAAAAATTTCAGTACCGTATCAATTGTCTTTCATATTTTGTGTTCCTCCTTTCCAGTGCTTTTCTATGTAAATAAGTATTCTGATGTACTTGTAAGTAATCACTCAGAGCATAATGTAATTTTGTCTTTGGTGTCTTAAAATTTTGCAGCCAGGCAAGAGAGGTTCACAGGGAAGGTAGGAACAAGTGATTATTCAGTGTGAGGATGGGAAGAAGATCAAAGATAAGTAAGGGCAATGATTGAATCCTTCCCGTGTCATTGCCCCTAGTCCCCAAGCCACCCTCCTGCCATCATGAGTATAGTGGTGTATTGTGGAAGGCAGCATGCCCGGTTTTCCAGTTTCAAAATAAATTATTTAACAGTGAGGCTTAACTCCCAGTAAATGAAGGAGTCTGTGAGTAGGGGAACCCTTCAGACTGGTTATATTATGAGCTGTAGAACTGTTGCCATTTTGTTGTTCCCCAGTTGTGCCCATAAAGAGATGTGTCTGAGCTCGAGACTTAGGCTCAGATGGGGAACAAACAGCCAAGGACCAACCTTAGTTTGGTCCGATAGGTGAATTTTAGCAACTCTCTAAACTCAGCTCTATACCTGTAAGACTCAGAAGTGATGCATATAGTGACGGAAAAAAATATTTTAGAAAATAGAAAACAACTTACTGGTTATTCTGCTAATGTGATAGAGGTTGCAGAATGGAAAATGAATGCAAAAAAATACAGCTGGATTGTGTGCCACAAGTTTATTACTTAATAAATATTCTGTGGTTTGATGTGCTGTACTGTATTTTTAATATATCCTGATGAGAAAAACAATCCTAAGACATCCTGTAAGAATCAGACACGATTGAATAAGAAGGAGAACGACTCCATGAAACTGTATTTGGCATCAGTAAGATTCTTCTGCCAGTTTTCTCGAAAGCGAACCATTCCTGGTCTACAGAGGAAGAAAAACAAACACTTTTAAAGTATTTTTAAATCAAAAGCTTTTAAAATCAAACAAAGGGGATTTCCTGTTTACTCTTTTATATTCTTAGTAAGCAAGAAGCCTCTTTTATTGGCGGGGGAGGGGAGGTAGCTAGGGTTCTCTATATCCTTTACTGTTTCTTAAGCCCAGTCAATGAAAGGATTAATGAGCTTATATGTAAAGATACTTTAAGAGAGCTGCTATAAAAGGAATATACATAAGTTAATTTTATGTGATATTGAAATTTTCCATAGAAACAATAGACATGACCCACTTTGTCCCCACCCTACTGCAGCAACTAATCCTCAAGTTTATAATGAATGAAAAACCAGACACTAAGAAAAATAATTTTCCAGAACAATTTCAGCCCATTCTAATGGGGTTAGTGGTCCAAAGAAGAAAAGTGACCATTATATGAACTATCTGTTGTGCAACTGATGGATTCCTGGAGTGTAATGACCTTTCTCCCACCCTTTTAAAACAAACCTCCAAATGTTCATTACCTGTGAACTAATGCTTGGTGGTCACCTACATAAAAAACACCAATGGGTGCATCCTAAAAAAGAGAAGGACAACTGTTAGCCCAGACCAGTCATACCAACTCTTTTTGCTTTTTTTGAGACGGAGTCTTGCTCTGTCTCCAAGGCGTAAGTGCAGTGGCATGATCTCAGCTCATTGCAACCTCCGCCTCCTAGGTTCAAGTGATTCTCCTGCCTCAGCCTCCCGAGTAGCTGGGTTCGTAGACGCTCACCACCATGCCCAGTTAATTTTTTTATTTTTAGTAGAGCCAGAGTTTTACCTTGTTACCCAGGCTGGTCTCGAATTCCTGACCTCAGGTGATGCGCCTGCCTCAGCCTCCCAAACTGCTGGGATTACAGGCATAAGCCACCGCGCCCAGCCCAATCATACCAACTCTTAATTCCTTACTTCCCTACACTTGCCCATATGCATACTCTTGAATTTCTAGAATTCATCTTGCTTATGAATCGGGATTCTATAGGTGATAGTTTTTTGTCACTTTAAACCTCTGTTCCCCAAAATATCTTTTTGACAACAAATACCTTAAGAATCTTTACAAAATTGGAAATAAGTTGGGACAGGCTTGTGCTCCTCATTAATAGGAGTGTAAGTCATTAACCTTCTTTACATGCTCCACTTTACTCAACTGACAATCTCTACCTCTTAGGAATGGCATGAGAATGAATTAATATAGATGAAAAGGTTTGAAACATTTTTAAAGCAGCATAATCATGTAGGTTGTAATATTATCTCAGTAGTCCCTCCCATCCTTGCCTCCAAAATTATACTTGGAATTTTGAGCAAGAGCCATTCTCCCAAGACCTCTCTCTGTGTGGTCTCTGGTGTAGTCTTGTTCCCCTCCACCAATCTCACTTCCTGACCTCTGACCTGGCCAGTTAGCAAGACAGCTGGTAGAGGGATATATGACCAGAAGTAAGATCTCCACATACTGCACCTCTTTAGGTTACCGCAGGTTCCAAACGCTCTGAATAGGCGTTTGTACTAGGATAGAATGCATATAGGACATGGATGGCTCACTGACTGTGGTCATATACAAAGCCTTAACATCAGGCCAAGGTGTAAATAACTTTTGGGAAAGGATGGGAAGGCAAAGAAGAAATAAAATGTTTATGTCTGTTGTGTTTCAGGCATGCTTGGTACCAGCCCTGCTCCTCTGATGACCATTCCCCTAGATTCATGGATGTTATTTTGGCTCTTTTCACACCAGCCATCAAGTTAACATATTTCTTATTCATGGTCTACCTAGTGGATACCAGCAATCATTCCCTCAAGTATTTATTGAGTGCCTACTATTTGCCAGGCCTTGTTTTACAGGAAGACAAAAATCCCAGCCTTCATGGAGCTTACATTCTGGTGGAGGGAATAGACAATAATCAAACAATTATAGGGCTGGGTGTGGTGGCTCATGCCTATAATCCCAGCACTTTGGGAGGCCGAGGCAGGCAAATCACCTGAGGTCAGGAGTTCGAGACCAGCCTGGCCAACATGGCGATACCCCATCTCTACTAAAACTATACAAATTAGCTGGTTTTGGTGGCATGTGCCTGTAGTCCCAGCTACCCAGGAGGCTGAGGCAGGAGAATCACTTGAATGCAGGAAGCAGAAGTTGCAGTGAGCCAAGATCACGCCACTACACTCCAGCCTAGGAGACAGAACGAGACTCCATCTAAAAACAAAAACAAAAGCAAAAAACAAATGTATAGAATATGAAAAGGTGGTAAGTGCTATGGAGAAAAAGCATAGGAAAGTGAGTGAAAGAGGAGGTCAGGGAGCAGGCAATTCACATGCCTGGGGACAGTGTTCTCATCAAAAGAAACAGCAAGTGCAAAGGCCCTGAGGCAGGACTATACCTGACTTATTTGAGGAGAAGCAAGATCAGAATGGCCAGAGCACAGTGAGAGGGAAGGAGTAGTGGGAAAGCATAAGTAACAAGGGACCAGATCACACAAGGCCTTGTAGGCCCTTACTACTGAAAGCTGGTCTCTAGGCCTGCAGCCTCAGCATGGCCTGCCAGCTTGTTAGTTCTGCACTCCAGCCTAGGAGACAGAACGAGACTCCATCTAAAAACAAAAACAAAAGCAAAAAACAATCTCAAGCCCTATCCCAGACCTGCTGAATCAGAATCTTCATTTTAACAAGATCCCTAAGTGATTTGTACGAACTTTGAATTAATTTCCTTCTTTTTTTTTTTTTTTTTTTTTGAGACGGAGTCTGGCTCTGTCGCCCAGGCTGGAGTGCAGTGGCCGGATCTCAGCTCACTGCAAGCTCCACCTCCCGGGTTTACGCCATTCTCCTGCCTCAGCCTCCAGAGTAGCTGGGACTACAGGCGCCCGCCACCTCGCCCGGCTAGTTTTTTTTTTTTGTACTTTTTTTTTTTAGTAGAGACGGGGTTTCACCGTGTTAGCCAGGATGGTCTCAATCTCCTGACCTTGGCCTCTGTGATCCGCCCCATTGACCTCAGTGCTGGGATTACAAGCAGGCTTTGCCCGGCCCCTTTTTTTTGAGACAGAGTCTCATCATCACCCGTTGGGTACAATGCCAGCTCAGTCACTGCAACCTCCACCTCTGGGTTCAAGCCCGTTCTCCTGCCTCAACCTCCCAAGTAGTGGACTACAGGCACTTTTTTTTTTTTTTTTTTGAGACAGAGTCTCACTCTGTCACCCACGTTGGAGTGCAATGGCACCAGCTCAGTCACTGCAACCTCCACCTCCTGGGTTCAAGCCATTCTCCTGCCTCAACCTCCCAAGTAGCTGGGACTACAGGCATGAGCCACCAGGCCCGGCTATATTTTTGTGTTTTTCTTTTCTTTTTTTTTTTGAAATGGTGTTTTGCTCTTGGTGCACAGGCTGGAGGGCAATGGTGCGATCTCGGCTCACCACAACCTCTGCCTCCTGGGTTCAAGCGATTCTCCTGCCTTAGCCTCCCAAGTTGCTGGGATTACAGGCATGAGCCACCATGCCTGGCTAAGTTTGTACTTTTAGTAGTGATGGGGTTTCTCCGTGTTGGTCAGGCTGGTCTGGAACTCCCGACCTCAGGTGATCCACCCGCCTCAGCCTCCCAAAGTGCTGGGATTACAGGTGTGAGCCACCACGCCTGGCCTAATTTTTGTATTTTTAGTAGAGACGAGGTTTCACCATGTTGGCCAGGCTGGTCTTGAACTCCTGACCTCAAGTTGATCTGTCCACCTTGGCCTCCCAGAGTGCTGGGATTACACACATGAGCTACCATGCCCTGCCAGCACTTTAAATTTTGAGAAGCACTTTTGGAAAGTTTGTTTTTTTTGTTTTTTTTTCCCCTTGGAGACGGAGTCTCGCTCTCTCACCTAGGCTGGAGTGCAGTGGTGCAATCTCAGCTCACTGCGACCTCCGCCTTTTGGGTTCAAGCAATTCTGCTGCCTCAGCCTCCTGAGTAGCTGGGATTACAGGCATGCACCACCATGCCCGGCTAATTTTTGTATTTTTAGTAGAGATGGGGTTTCCCCATGTTGGTCAGGCTGGTCTCGAACTCCTGACCTCGTGATCCACCCGCGTCAGCCTCCCCAAGTGCTGGGATTACAAGCATGAGCCACCGCGCCTGCCCTTGGAAAGTTTTAAACAGAGGAATGGGCCAGGTGTGGTGGCTCACACCTGTAATCCCAACACTTTGGGAGGCTGAGCCGGGTGGATCACTTGAGCTCAGGAGTTCAAGACCAGCCTGTGCAACACAGCAAGACCTTGTCTCTACGAAAACTAAAAAAAAAAAGCCAGGCGTGGTGGTGCATGCCTGTAGTCCCAGCTACTTGAGGGGCTGAGGCAGGAGGATCGCTTGAGCCCAGGAAGTAGAGGCTGCAGTGAACCCTGATCATGCCACTGCCCACCAGCCAGGGTGAGAAAGTGAGACCCTGTCTCAATAAGTAGATAGATAGATAGATAGATAGATAGATAGATAGATAGATAGATAAGTAGATAGATAGATAGATAGATAGATAGATAGATAGATAGATAGGTAGATAGATAGATAGACAGACAGACAGACAGATGTAGATAAAACAGAGGAATGACAGAAATTTGCTTTACAGCCAGATGTAGTGTCTCATGCCTGTAATCCCAGCACAAAGTTCGCTGGGCATGGTGGTGTGCACCTGTAGTCCCAGCTACAAGGAAGGCTGATGTGGGAGGATCACTTGAGCCTGGGATGTCAAGGCTTCAGTGAGCTCTGATTGTACCACTCTACAACCTGGATGACAGAGCGACTCTGTCTTAAAAAAAAAAAAAAAAAAAAAGAGAGAGAGAGAGAGAGAAGTTTGAGAAGCACTTTTGGAAAATTTTAAACACAAAAGTGACAAATTTGTTTTACAGCTGGGCTGGTGGTTCACACCTGTAAGTCCAGCACTTTGAGAGGCTGAGGCAGGATAGCCTGAGGCCAGGAATTCAAGACCAGCCTGGGTAACAAAGCAAGATACCATCTCTTTTTTTGTTGTTGTTTTGTTTTTTTGTTTGTTTGTTTTTTGTTTTTTTTGTTTTTTGTTTTTTTTTTTTTGAGACGGAGTCTCGCTCTGTCACCCAGGCTGGAGTGCAGTGGCGCAATCTCGGCTCACTGCAAGCTCCGCCTCCCGGGTTCACGCCATTCTCCTACCTCAGCCTCCCGAGTAGCTGGGACTACAGGCGCCCGCCACTGCGCCCGGCTAATTTTTTTCTATTTTTTAGTAGAGACGGGGTTTCACCATGGTCTCGATCTCCTGACCTTGTGATCCGCCCGCCTCGGCCTCCCAAAGTGCTGGGATTACAGGCGTGAGCCACCGCGCCAAAAATTTGTTTTACAAGACTCACTCAGGCTGGCTGCAACATTGAAAAGAGACATGATGAGGGCAAGGGTGGAAGCAGAGAGACTGATTAGGAGGTTACTGACATAATCTTGGTGAGAGAGGATGGTGTCTTGGACCAGAATGATAGGAGTGGAGTAGTAAGAAATAGTTAGGGGGCCAGGCACGGTGGCTCACGCCTGTAATCCCAGCACTTTGGGAGGCCGAGGTGGGTGGATCACTTGAGATCAGGAGTTCCAGACCAGCCTGGCCAACATGGTGAAAACCCATCTCTACTAAAAATACAAAAATTAGCCAGGCATTGTGGTGCACGACTGTCATCCCAGCTACTTGGGAGGTTGAGACAGGAGAATCACTTGAACCCAGGAGGTGGAGGTTGCAGTGAGCCAAGATTGCACCACTGCACTCCAGCCTGGGCAATAAGAGTGAAACTCTATCTCAAAAAAAAAAAAAAAAAAAAATTGTTGGATTCTGGATATATTTTTGAAAGTAGAGCCAATAGTATTTCCTAATAGATTAGATGAGGGATATGAGAGAAGAGTCAAGGATGACATCAAGGATTTTGGCCATTAACTAAGATGAAGACTGCAACTAGATAGGCTTGGAAGGGAAAATCAGAAGTTCAGTTTTACATGCAATACATTAGATGTTTATTAAACATTCACGTGGGACGGGTCTGTGCTAGAGATACAAATTTGGGGATCATAAGCTCTAGGTGGCATTTAAAGCTATGAGACTGGATGAGATAACCACAGAACAGAGTATAGAGAAGAGTTCCAAGGTCTGAGTTTCAGGACATTCCAACATGAAGAGGTTGGTATGAGGCAGGGAAACTACCAGTAGAGGCGGACTGTGAAGGAATGGTCAGTGAGGCAGGAGGAAAATCAGGAAAGTATGTTGTTCTAGAAGCCAAATAGAAAGTTTCATGGAGCGGGGAGTGATCAGCTATGGCAAGTGCTGTGCATAGGCCAGTGAGATAAGGACAGAAGTATGACTATTAAATTTTGCAAAAATGGGGTTATTGATGACCTTGACAAGAGAAGTTTCCATTCTCACTGAAGCCTCACTGAAGGGAGAAAAAGAAGAACTTACCGGCGGTTTGGTTTTGGAGACCTTCATGGTGAAGTAGGTACCAGCAGAGATTTGTGCTACAGGTAGCCCAGCAGTTGAGATACTCCAGTGTACATAGTAGATGTATAGGAAGCTGTGAATTATGTCTTTCCTCTCTATAAACTCTACGCCGTGTACCCAGCATTTTTTAGAAACACACTTCTGTTTCATAGAAAAAAGAAAAAGCACACAGAAAAAGAAAAGCCTTCTGTTCAAGTCCTGTAGATAAATGCAGCATGGCTGGGTGCAGTGGCTCATGCCTGTAATCCCAGCACTTTGGGAGGCCGAGGCAGGAGGATTACTTGAGGCCAGGAGTTCCAGACCAGCCCGGGCAATGCAGCAAGACCCTATCTCTACAAAACAAATTTAAAAATTAGCCAGGCATGGTGGTACGCACCCTTAATCCCAGCTACTGGGGAGGCTGAGGCAATAGGATTACCAGAGTCCAGGAGTTTGAGGCTGCAGTGAGCTGTGATTGCACCACTACACTCCAGTCTGGGTGACAGAGCAAGACCCTATCCCTAAAAAAACGAATAAATAAAAATAAAGGATAAGTGTGGCATATAACAATTAGGGTTACAGCTCTGTTCTGGAGTCTACTCCTTTTTTTTTTTTTTTTTTTTTTTTTTTTTTTTTTTTTTTTTTTTTTTTAGGAGATGGAGTCTCTGTTGCCCAGGCTAGAGGGCAGTGGCATGATCTCGGCTCATTGCAACCTCTGCCTCCTGGGTTCAAGCGATTCTCCTGCCTCAGCCTCCCGAGTAACTGGGATGACAGGCATGCGCCACCATGCCCAGCTAATTTTTATATTTTTGATAGAGATGGGGTTTCGCCATGTTGCCCAGGCTGGTCTCAAACTCCTGAGTTCAAGTCTTCCACCTGCCTTGGCCTCCCAAAATGCTGGGATTACAGGCATGAGCCACCACACCAGCAAGGACACACACTTTGATGTCTAAGTGTACATACACACAGATGTTGCTTCAGACCCCCTTACAGGAGGCAGGTTCAATTAATTGGAAAATAATTAGAAAGTGATTAGAACACTTGTTCTGCTCACCCCAGGAGACCTAAATGTGTGACTGGAAAGTAACGAGGCTGACTTTAGCCATTTGTGAAAATCCAGCTCACTTAATTGTAGCCATAGGTGGTATATAAAATAAGTTCAGGGAGGCAATAGAATAATCCACATCCTACAGAAAGGAGGGATTCCTTGTTTGCACCCTTAGAGAAGCTTCCCCCTTTTCTTTTTAAAATTTTATTTTATGTATTTATTTATTTTAGAGACCAGGTCTTGCTATGTTGTCCAGGCTGGCCTTGAACTCCTGGGCTCGAGCAATCCACCTGCCTCAGCCTACCAGAGTGCTGGGATTACAGACATGAGCCACCACTCCCGGGCGCTTCCCCATTTCAAGGCACAAATCTTCGCAGTGATGAGAGTTGAGAAACAAAGTATTCCTTGGGATGTCTCCTTTGGGCCTATTCTTGGAGTTGAGATGGGAATACAGTCCCACTGCTGCAGATTCTAATACATAGGGCCAACCTTTTCGATCCACAGTTGGTTAAATCCATGGATGGGGGACCGACTAAGGGACTTGAGCACACGTGGATTTTGATATGCATGGGGGGGTCCAAAAACGTATTCCCCTGCAGATATGGAGAGCCAACTGTACACAACTAAAGTTAACTACATTATTGAATGTAGCATTTAGGCTGGGCACGGTGACTCATGCCTGTAATGCCAGCACTTTGGGAGGCCGAGGTGAGCGGATCACTTGAGGTCAGGAGGTTGCGGTGAGCCAAGATCATGCCATTGCACTCCAGCCTGGGCAACAAGAGTGAAATTCCGTCTCAAAAAAAAAAAAAAAAAAAAGTAGCATTCATTCAGTTCTTCATTCCTTCCTTCCTTAATTAATTCATCCATTTTTTATTAACCTTCAATCATATCTATACTACCTGAAATGTGTCTCAAATCTATCCATTCTTCTCCAGTCCCACTGCCACTGCTCTACTTCAGCTCTCAGTGTTTCTCACCTGGACTTAGGCAATAACCTATCTAGACTCTGTTGTCCTCAACCTCACTTCTCCAATCCCCCACCCACAATGAAGCCAGAGTTACTTTCCTTAAGCACAGCTTCAGTCATATCTGCTCGGCTCAAAAACCTCCCTGGGCTGGGCGCAAGCTTGGTGGCTCATGCCTGTAATCCCAGCACTTTGGGAGGCTGAGGCAGGCAGATCACCTAAGGTTAGGAGTTTGAGATCAGCCTGGCCAACACGGTGAAACCCTGTCTCTACTGACAATGCAAAACTGAGCCAGGCGTGGTGGTGGGGGCCTGTAGTCCCAGCTACTTCTCTACATTCTCAGAGGCTGAGGCATGAGAATCCCTTGAACCCAGGAGGCAGAGGTTGCAGCGAGCTGAGATCACACCATTGCACTTCGGCCTGGGCAACAAGAGCAAAACTCCAACTCAGGAAAAAAAAAAAAAAAAAGCAACCTCCCGCAGCTCCCCATTGCCTGCCAAACAAAATGAAAATGTTTCACTGTGTCATTTAAGACCTCCCACAATGGCCAGACATAGTGTAATCCCAGCACTTTGGGAGGCTGAGGCAGGAAGATCGCTTGAGCCCAGGAATTTGAGACTGCAGTGAGCTATGATTGTGCCACTGCACTCCAGGCTGGGCAACTCCTTGTCTCAAAAAAAAAAAAAAAAAAAAAAAAAAAAGTTTCATGTCACACTTTTCTCAACAAAATGCTCATATTCCCATCAAACTATAACTAGCACTATTCCCCATGTTTACACCATGCTTTTGATCCGGCTGTTGTAATTTCTTGAGAAGCTTCTCTCTATCACCTACTTGATAAATTCTGTTTTCAAAACTACCACCTCCAAGAAGTCTTTCTGATCCCTCTTCCAACCAGATGTGACTTCACACCCTTTCCCTTTGAACGCTGGTGGAACTTGTTTTCTACCTCTCTTATGGTACTTGAGACTTCCCCCCCATAGTACAGCCATAAGGAACTGTCTGCATTGTAGTCTCCATATTAAAAATTTTCTTTTCTTTTGTTTTGAGACGGAGTCTCACTCTGTCACCCAGGCTGGACTGCAATGGCACCATCTCAGCTCACTGCAACCTTCACCTTCCAAGTTCAAGCAATTCTCCTGCCTCAGCCTCCCTGAGTAGCTGGGATTACAGGCACCCACCAGCACATCCAGCTAATTTTTGTATTTTTAGTAGAGACAGGGTTTCACCATGTTGGTCAGGCTGGTCTTGAGAACTCCTGACCTCAAGTGATCTGCCCACCTCGGCCTCCCAAAGTGCTGGCATTACAGGCGTGAGCCACCGTTCCTGGCCAATATTAAAACATTTCTAACAGGGCTGACTTATCTGTAAGGCATAGTAGGCTCAATACCTAGGGCCCACAAAAAAATGTGTTCATTTCTTTTAAAATTAGAAGAAAAAGGCCGGGCACAGTGGCTCATGCCTGTAATCCCAGCACTTTGGGAGGCCGAGGAGGGCGAATCACCTGAGGTCGGGAGTTCGAGACCAGCCTGACCAACATGGAGAAACCCAGTCTCTACTAAAAATACAAAATTAGCCCAGCGTGGTGGCACATGCCTGTAATCCCAGCTACTCGGGAGGCTGAGGCAGGAGAATTGTTTGAACCCGGGAGGTGGAGATTGTGGTGAACCGAGATCGCACCATTGCACACCAGCCTGGGCAACAAGAGCAAAACTCTGTCTCAAAAAAAAGAAGCAGAAAATATGAATTTTAGGGTCATGATTATATTCATCTTTATACCAGTGCTGTCTTGAGTTTTTCCATATTTTGAGGGAGAAAGGGGCCTACAAAGGGAAGAGTGCCTAAGGCCCACAGAAGTCAAAATGCATCCCTGATTCCTGGCACAGGGCCTTGGATTTCACAGGTATTCAACAAATTCAATTCAACTGAACCTCCTTGGGCTGGCTCTCGGGGCACCAGAAGCTTCTGAATCAAAGAAGAGCCTGAATTAAGATGAAGGCTTACAGAAGGAAGGAATTGGGAGAGTCTAACAAATCCCAATAATGTGGAGAGGGAGTACAGGAGGAGACATCAAAAAGATTTCAGGCCCTCCTTTAAAAAAAATGTAGGCTGGCCTTTTGCCTCAGCTTATTTCAAACTTGTACCCAATTGGCTGTTTCTGTCCAGAGAGGAGCACTGGACTCGAGATTCCTTGAGATCAGGAGCTGTGTATTCTTTCATGCATCATTATTCCTTTTTTCTGAGACAGGGTCTTACCCTGTCACCTAGACTGGAGTGCAGTGGCATGATCATGGCTCATTGCAACCTCCCCAGGTTTAAGTGATCCTCCCACCTCAGCCTCCCAAGTAACTGAGACTACATACAGGCATGCATCACCACACCTGGCTAATTTTTGTATTTTTTGTAGAGATGGGGGTCTCCCTATATTGCCCAGGCTGGTCTTGAACTCCTGGGCTCAAGTGATCCACTGGCCTCGGCCTCCCAAAGTCATTATTCCTTCTTTTTTTTTTTTTTTTTTTTTTGAGACAGAGTCTGTCTGTCTTCCAGGCTGGAGTGCAATGATGTGATCTCAGCACACTGCAACCTCCACCTCCTGGGTTCAAGCGATTCTCCTTCCTCAGCCTCCCGAGTAGCTGGGATTACAGTTGCTCATCACCACGCCCAGCTAATTTTTGTATTTTTAGTAGAGATTCGGGCTGGTCTCAAACTCCTGACCTCAGGTAATCCGCATGCCTCGGCCTCCCAAAGTGCTGGGATTATAGGCATGAGCCACCACGCCTAGCCCTTCATTACTCCTTTTAATGAAGGGGCCCAACAGTCAACCTCTTATGGTTCATTGGAGCACGCCCCCCCGCCTTTTTTTTTTCCCTAGATGAAGTCTCGCTCTGTCATCCAGGTTGGAGTACAGTGGCATGATCTCAGCTCACTGCAACCTCCACCTCCTGGGTTCAAGTGATTCTTCTGCCTCAGCCTCTTGAGTAGCTGGGATTACAGGTGCGTACCACCACATTTGGCTAATTTTTGTATTTTGAGTAGAGGTGGGGTTTCACCATGTTGGCCAGGCTGGTCATGAACTCCAGACCACAGGTGATCCACCTGCCTCAGCCTTCCAAACTGCTGGGATTACAGGCATGAGCCACTGCACC